CTTCTTCTTCTTTTTGGATTTTTGTGTTTGTCATTCCTCTTCCAATAGGTGCTTCATCTCTACTATATCCTTCATCTGAGGAGCTTCTATTCCCATAGTAGTTTGTTGGTTGTTCTCTTTTAGTTGCACCACCTCATCTAAAGAGACAGATGAGGGTGTTTGAATATTTATTTGATTTACCTCCTCCCTGAAAAGTCTGGGGGAAGTATCTGGGGGCCCTGTGGAGACAAGAGGAGCAGTAGAGCTTTTAGGTGTTTCCATCATATCATCCAAATTCCCAATTGGAGGGGGTTCTACACCAATTAATCCTTCTGAGGAAATAGGCTGGGTGTGCCTTCCCTGATTTGCCACTGTCTTCTTTGGGGGAGGGTGAAGCCTAAAGCATCTATCCTTGGTGTGGCCAAACATCCTGTAGCGATGGCAATAGTATGGCTTCTGTTCTAGTGTCACTGTTTGCCAGAAACCCTCCCTGTCATTACCAATCCAAATTCTATTAATTTCAGGGAGAGTAACATCTCTCTCAATGAGAATTCTGGCTAGGGCAGGTCTGGCCTTATTGCAAGTAGGAGCATCCACCTTCATAGGTCTCCCTATAGCACATGTTATATTGAATAATGCATTGAGATTGAAATACTGGATTGGGAGGCCAGGTAGTTTAAACCATAGATGAACTATTGGAGGTTCCTTACTAGGGTCAAAATCAGGATCCCATTTCAGAATTTTCATTGTGGTACCTCCAATTTGGATGCCTTGTTTTGCAAAGAGTCTAGCATAGTCTTCCTCTCCAGAGAGTTGTATAAGTAGGTGTCTTCCATCAAGAATTCCAATTTGCCAATCACCATTAAATTTCAGAGATTCAAATTAGTTTCTAACTAAGTCCATCTTAGGGTGGCCAAGAAGAAATTTCCCCACCAAGGTAAATTTAACTTGGTCATTGAGATTAATAATTTCTTGAGATGAGAAATAAACAGCAGGCTCTCCATCCTTGACACCTGAGGAGTGAATGCAAGGGTTGTTGCCCTTTCCTGCTGCAGTGTCATGAAATTTTTATGGGAATATTAAATGTTCAGGATCATTAAGGGAGGCAGTAGATTTGCCAACCACTCCAGCATAAGTAACTTTTGCCCATTGAACATCAGTGTCCAAATCGATAGGAGTAGCCATACTCCCTAGAACCACTTACCAGAGGACAAAGAGCTAGAGAACCAAAGAAAAAGAAGGACCAAAACCAGGCAAAACAGGTCCACATGTCAGCAACCTCAACACAGCAGTGCCCAACACCAGGAAAGGGAGGGAGACCACCACAAAAACAAAGAGTGCCAAGAGATAACAGAAAAAACCAAAGGAGAAAGGAAAGATAGCAGAAAACAGATAGCCTCCAATGGAACAGTAAAAACCCACCAACCAGGAAAAACCAATGAAACAGTAAAAATCCACCAAAGCCTAAGAGAGGAGTGATGGAGATAAACTTCCAAAGTGTAGGAGGAAGAGAGAAAAGCACCCTGAAGAAAATAACAGCCAGATCTCCCCCAGGAAAACTTCCAGCAGCTCACCATGCTGCCAGAAACCCTAGCAGAGCACTTCCCTCCTTAGCCGCCAGCATCCTGATCTCCATATATATATATATACATATATAATTTTATTTTTCTTTTTTGATAAAAAACCAAGGGATCAGCAAAATCTGTCAAACGGGTATATTGTATTTCCTAAGGATGTGAGGGTGGCACAACATTTCCTCAAGGGACACTACACCCATATGTGAGGTGGTATGACCTCGATAATCCAATTAGTCTGGTGCCATGTTCAACACCCGACTTAAGGAAAATCCTCTCCGTCAACACTTGACTCAATGAAAAAAAAGAAAACTAGCATATGGCCCATGAAATGAGGCATCATGCATTGATATGTGTAGGCTGGGTCCTTGAAACGAGGTATCATGCATTGATATGTATCACACTAAACACCTTTTCACGTTTAATTAAATGTCATTTTATTACAAATGACATTATTACAGATCTCGAATGAAGTGTTTTACAAAAGGGACTTCCAAGGCCTTGGTTGGGACATATCCCTTCCGTGTCAACATTCAGAGAACCAACTCTCTGCCTAACCTAAGTTCATCTACTCGATCGGCTTCGTGCTAGTACTTGCTCTGAGCGGTCAACTCATAGAGTGCTTCTAACTTGCACAACACCTTCGCCTGCTCACATTTATAAGTGGTTATTTTCGTTCGCATCTTTTTCACCTCTAAATATGTGGTCGCCAGGCGAGCTGACAATCTTTAACAGCACCTCCAACCGCTCTAGGTGAGGGTTCACCTACGCTCATTCGATGCTCAGCAAATTCAGGAGAAATTTATGGCCAATCAACTACCCTTGTTAGAGGTCACTCAAGTGGCTAGGTGAGGTGGACGGAATGGGATGAGCGATGGGCAAAGGGTTGAGCAATTGATGCCATCCGACATCAACCAATGAAGGGAGAATCTTGATCGTGCTTTGCAGCCTGACCGTGACAACAAGAGCGGATTCAACAATGTCTTTTGATGGCATGCTGTCCTCGCACCCCTATGACTTGATCAATTCATCTGCATTGATATAATGTAAAGTCATCACTAAAAACTGTCAACAATCAGAGCATTTCTTACATACTTAAAAATCAGTCCATTGAAGAAGGACCTTTGTAAGCATGTCTCCCCTTCACGATGTGGCACCTCCATTTTTATGTGTTGGTGGCTGGAGAGGGTCGATGACTTTCTTCACTGACCTTGAGGCCCTCAACAACCAAGCCCTATGGTCCCTCAAGAATCACACCCGTACTAAGCCCAGAAGTTGGACTTCCCTGGCAAGGCTTGTTCGACGCCTACGTCTCAAAATCCTCAGACGAGACGGCTTGATCGGTCAATACAGGTTTGGGAATCAACTTTTTTTTTCCATTCTTATGACATTTTTCTTCTTTAAAAGGGCAGAGATCTGATAGCCAACCATGGCTAGAAGTTCAGGGTCCACCTCGCCTTGGTTCACACCATCTGTCATGCTTTTGTTATCTATAAAAAGTTTGTGGCAATGAATGTATATGACAACCTGTCGGCACTATTTTTTGTGTGGGGTTTGCCC